CTGGCCCATCATTTGTTTTTGGCAGCGGGGCTGGTGGCCTGGGGCAGTGGAGAGGGGGCCACTGTCCAGTCCTCATCTTTATAGGGCCGTTTTTCTTCTCACGCTCAGCCGACGTCCCTTTTCCAAGGAGAAATCAGGTCTTCAGAGTCCCTGAAGGGTTTACTAATGTTTATTATGTGCTGATAATATTTCTGTGGCATCGGACAGGGCTGGGAGGTGGGGGCTGAGAGTAAGGGGGCGGGCAGCATCCCTCCCTGAGGGCCAAGGGCATGGCTCTGCTCCCCCCCACACACACACCTCTTTCTCTAAAGAGCCTGGAAAACCCCCAGGGAGAAGAGGGGCGGGAAGGGGGGCGTGTGTGGGGCGTGGGGTGTGAGGAAGCTTCTGGAAGTGAGGCTGTAGGATGGGGGGGCAGGGTAGGGGGGGCTCATGGCCGTGTGCAGGAGGAGGGGACATGGTGTGAAAATACAAAGTGGGTGTGGAAGGACGCTGCCCCTGTGGGTGTCATCGATGCTGTGCCCATGTGAATGAAGTTGGCACCGTGTCTGTGGGTGGCATTGGCACCGTGTCTGTGGGTGATGTTATCCCCGTGCCGGTGTGATGCTGACACCGTGTCTGTGGGTGCCATCACGGCCACCGTGTCAGTGTGACCTGGTGACCGTGTGTCTGTGGGTGCCATCACGGCCACCGTGTCAGTGTGACCTGGTGATCGTGTGTCTGTGGGTGACGCTGCCGTCGATGTCTCTCCTGTACGTGAAGTCGTTGGCTCTGCCTGTGGCACGCTCCTTGCGTGAGGTGTCATCCCGTGTCTGTGGGAAAGGGCTGTGGGGCTGGGTGTCAGGTGGGGGTGGGCACGGCCCGGGCTTGGGGGTGGTGGTGGTGGGGCTGCTGTGTTGCCCCTGCGAGCATCTTCTGCACCGTCAGGTCGGGGGGGCCCCCTCGGTCCTTGAGGCCTGGTACCTCCTCAGCCACTGGAGCAGGAAAGGGATAGAACACAGACATGCAGGTGGTCACCCCGACGCCCCTCGCTAGCCCTGGATGCTCATCTCCAGGGGCAAGACGTCCCCCGAGAAACCTGCCCTGCCCCCTCCCACCCTGGGGGACCCCAGACTAGTTGGGGTTCATGCACCTCCTCCAACTTCCCCAGACTTCGTGTCCTTCTCCGGTGGTGCAGATGAAGAGACTGGATTCAGAGGCTCCTGTCCCAGCCACCCTGGCTCTCCCAACATTCCCCAAAGGCCCAGGGATCCTGGGAGTTTGCTCAATAGCCCTTGACCCCTTGCCCACCGGGACCGAGGCCGGGACTCAGTCTCCTCTTTTGTCCACACCAGTGTTTCCCAAAGTGGGTGATCCTGTCCCCTGGGAGACACTGGGACAATCCAGGGGCCTGGGGATCCTGGGAATTTGCTCGATAGCCCTTGACCCCTTGCCCACCGGGACCCGAGGCCGGGACTCAGTCTCCTCTTTTTGTCCACACCAGTGTTTCCTGAAGTGGGTGACCCTGCCCCCTGGGAGGCCCTGGGACAATCCAGGGGACGGCAGAGGCAGACACCTATACTTTATCCTGC